CCCCAGTAGGCTGGGAGGGGGGAAGCTCTTGGGAGGTGACACAGCCAGGCCAGCTGACCAAACTGACCAGAGGGATATTCCATCCATATGACATCTGCTCAGAAATAAAAGCAAGGAGAACAGAGGGGGAAGGGGGGATGCTTGTTATTTACAACGTTTGTCCTCTGGAGTAACCGCTACACATACTGAAGCCCTGCTTCCTGGGAAGTGGCCAAACATCACCTGCTGATGGCAAGTAGAGAATAAATATTTTGTTCTTTTGCTTCTGCATGTGCAGCTTTGCTTTGCTTCTATTAAACTGCCTTTATCTCGACCCACGAGTTTGGGTTTGGGCTCTTTTTGTTGTGGGGAGTGTGACAATGTGTATTGGCACACCCTGAGAGAACTGTGACCCACGAGTTTGGGTTTGGGCTCTTTTTGTTGTGGGGAGTGTGACAATGTGTATTGGCACACCCTGAGAGAACTGTGGGAGGTGAAGGGATACATGTCTGGAGATATGAGAAGCACCTGCATCAACAAGGCCTGAGAAAGGAACCTTGAAATGTATCCAAAAGATGTACCCTGGCAAGCAAACAGGAAGGGATGCAGGCAAAGTCCATCAGCCAGTCAGGGGCACATGAACTGCTCGTGCTGGGAGTGAAGAGCCAAGAACATGTTAATGGGTGTGGGTGATTTCATTAGTTTTGGGGTATAAATATAACTGTATTAGAACAAATAAATGGCTTCTTGCTTGATCATATTGATCGTGTGGCAGAGTCCATGATTGAGTTCCCGCATTTTGTTTCATCTTATTTTCTCCCCTCCCCATCCTGCTGAGGAGAGGAGTGCTAGAGTGGGTTTTGGTGGGCATCTGGCATCCAGCCACGGTCAACCCACCACATCCCCCAAATTTATGATTTCTTGCCAATAAAGGTAGTACACAAAAATCTGACAAAGATCAGTATATTAAAAAAAGACACAAACAAAGCAAGGAGGATAACAGCACCAACAATGTTGGAAGCG